CCGCTCCTCCTTCTGCGAGGGGGCCAGGCCCTTCCTGGGCTCGTGCTTGGTAGCTGAAGTGGGCTTAAGGTTTTTGTTTGAATCCAATTAAAGCCATCCTTAGAATGAATAAATGATTCAATATATCCCCGTGCTGATAACCGAAACTTAGTTGCAGAATATGCAGTATGTATACCTATGATGGTCGGCAACTAAATTAGTTTCCATGCCGCATGTACTCCTACCATCTAACACTCCTAAGACGGCAATGTAGTTCAGGCCAAACAAATCTACTACCCCAGGGTGGTAACGGAAAGTCATTTGATTAATTATATTACACCCCATCTTGGCAATTTAGCTTCTTGTCCCTGACACTCAGCGGCTGAGTACCCTAGGCGACAAAACGCTAGAAAAAAAATGAGTATGATGGGATCTCCCAAACCCCTAAGCAGGCCAAAGGTCGCCTACCCAGCATCCCAAACCCTGAACCCCAAGAACCCTAAACCCCTAAACCCTAAATTCCTAAGCCCCAGCCCCTAAGCCCTAAACCCTGAGCCGTAAATCCTACCCTAAACCCTAAACCCTAAACCCTACACCCTAAACCCTAAACCCTAAACCCTAAACCCTAAGCCTAAAGCCTAAACCCCTAAAGCCTAAACCCCTAAGCCCACAAACTAAACCCTGGCCCAGCGTCATGGCCAGGACCATGTTGCAGGCCATCCGCGCGAACTCCTCCCAAGAGCCTTCGGAGCTTCCATCGCCTTCTGAATGTTTTGGGGTGTAGGGTTTACGGTGTTTTAGGGGTTTAGGGGTTTTGGGTTTAGGGTTTTAGGGGTTTTGGTTTAGGGCTTTAGGGGTTTTGGTTTAGGGCTTTAGGGGTTTAGGGGTTGAGGGTTTAGGGTTTGGGGTGTAGGCTTTCGGGCCGCTTAGGGTTCAGGGCTTAGGGTTTCGGATGGTTTAGGGGCAAGGTCAAGGGACGGCAAGAGCTGGGTTTAGGGTCCGGGTCTGAAGGTGTTTGGTTTTTAGGTGGTTTTCGAAAAAGCCTTGGGGCTCGGCGCTCAAAGCTTTGGACTCTCGCAACTCGGAGGATGCAGGGGAGGCTTGTCGAGCTTAGAGGTAACCATGGTCTCTCGCCCTCTCCCTCCGTGAACCTCAACCGCTTTCCCTCTTCCCTAAGGGCTGAGCGCCCAAGCCCTAGTCGCCCTAGTCCATCCACAACGGGTTAACCTTGTGATGATGCTGGGGTTACACCTATATGTCCCCCAAAACCCAAAAGTGCCAAAAGGGTTTCGACGGCTACCGACCCAGCCCCGCTGAGCTTCCGTCCGCGGCTGAGCCGGCCTTCTCTCCAGACGAAGCTTCTGTAGCCCTGGGAGGCGAGTCTGGCAGCATTCTGCAAGTCCTCCGGCCCGCTTTTGCGAAGAAGCTCCTCCAGATATGTGTCCTCGGTTCAGGGCTTAGAAGGTTTCGGATGAGCCGAGACATTATGGACTGTTGGTAGAAGTCGCCAGGTGATTTGCATGATAAACTCCCATCAAGCGTCTGATCTCTCGACGTGCTTCTGGCTCACTAGCGGCATCATGAACCCTTCTGGCACAAGACCTTCTGCGAGGAGGTTCCATTGAAGAACCCGCCTGAGCATAGCTGACAGTCACGGAGACACGTGTCCTCAATTCATGCGATCATCGTCCCCTCTCAGAGGCCCGGAACTCAACGGTTTCGGACAGGCCGAGAGGCAGGTTGTGCCCACTGAACCTTAGAGCTCGCCGTGAGGCTCGCATGTCTTGTTCGCCCAGTAGCTGTTCAGCCAGCGGTGTGTTAAAAAATGACATCCAAGTGGCGTTTCTGGCATGGATTCCTTGAAGGGCACCTCGAGGTAGATAAAGTTGCGCTCTCAGACTCGGGCTCTTTTTGTTTTCCCCTCTCGCATGGCTAGGTTAGGATCGATGCAGGCTGTGGTGCAGAGTCGGGCTCTGTGGGCTCCAGGGGAAAGGGCTTGAGGATGTAAGGTTTAGCTGAAACCATAGAAACCAGAAATTACGTTAACCCTTAAACCCGAAACAGGGCTTGGGGCTCAGGGCTCAGGGTTGCTCAGGGCATGCTGCCAGGTGTCAGCTGGATCGAGCAGCGCACTTCCTTCGAAGTGTTTGCGCCAGAGCTGCACCTGATATAGGGGCAGTCATAACTCGACTAGGGTTTGGGTGCTATATTCTATAGTGTCCGATAGTTGCAGCATGGCCGAAGCCGTCAGCGGTTCCCTCTTTCCTTTTCGGGAACCTCTTTCCCCTCCCCCCTCCCCTCAATCCCCTCCCCAGTGGCAGTGGACGACGCGAAGCGTTTACAATAGTGCTAACAAGACTGACAACAATAAAAACAGTAACACTTCTAAAATAAACACTAATAATAATGACATTAATTGTAGTAATAACAATGCTAATTATCCTATTCCGACCCACCTCCATTTCTTGCATGCGAGTGTCCCCGAAAACACGATGCCCTGTAATTGAAAACCATAATTGTTTTAGGGGTTTTTGACACTCACACTCGGACAAGCCTGGCAAGGTCTGCAGCAATACTGCTCCAACGACTCATTAACCACCTACTCGGCCCGTATCACCAAGCAGGGCGCGCTGTCAGGGAGGGCTCGGAAGACGACACCCGGGTTTAGGGTTTGGACTCTCGCCACTCGGGCAATGCAGGCGAGGATGGTCCATAGTTCGCAGGATAGGCTCATGTGGCCTCGTCAGTGGTCTACAGGGCCTCCCGCATGTCACAACAGACTGCAACGGACACACCAAAATGCAGACATCGCCGCAGTATTCTTGAGGGTTTACTGTACCTTTCACTACGGCTTAAGAAATCTTCCTTCATGAAGGAGTATAACGGGTTTCTCAGCGTTGCGATTTGGAACATCTGTCTTGTTCACAGAGTTTTGGGCTCTCTGGGGAAGTGGCTGGCCGCGGCTGGTCGGGACAACTCAGCTCAGGGCCCAGTGAGCATCCTCTAGGAACTTGGAGTGCACACCATCTCGGTGCATCGCCTTGCACTGTTTCTCCACTGTGGTTTAAAGACCAACCCTCCAAACCCAAAGCCATAGACTAAACCCTAAACCCTGAAGTCATTTACACCTGGGCTACGCCTCCCCGAACCCCAAACCCCAAGACCCAGCGGACCTCTCGCACCAGCTGCTTGTAGTCATCGAGGCTAAGGGTACCGGACGCCATGGGTTCATGTCTATGCCTTCTATGCTGCACTGAAGATGCCAACCGGTCACGGGGCAGCGTCACTGTCACGCAAGGCAAGATGGGCATGGCCCCTCAACATCTTCGCCGCCCTTCGGTGTGCCTGTTTGAACACATTGATGGTGCACCCGATCATGGTTGGAACCAGCTTCTGCACACTTTCATCGAAGACCTGACCCCATGGGCACCACGAGGCGCTGCTCTCTACACCAGGTCACAAAGCTCCCCGCTGCGAAGAAATACTTGGAGATTACGTCGAAAATGTGCTTGATGGACACCTGCCATGTGCTGGCCGATCATCGCAGGACAGGGCCTACCGTAACCCCACGACAACCAAGCCATTTCTTCTCCAGGTCCTTGAAGCTGGGGGTACCCATCTCCCTCTGAATCGCACACGAACCGATCCCGTGGATGAAAGCAACGGAGGCAGGACATCCGACAAGTCAGAGTATGCCGTCCTCAATGCGACTCTTGGTAGTCAGGGAATATGCAAGAAACGAATCCGGGCCCAATGCGTGCTGTAGTGCCGCTTTAGTCCTAAGCAAGTCCGAGCTCCGCTCTCCCATCCGGACTGACCAAGCCGTGAGGCTTGCATCCAAAGAGCGCTCTGTGATGAAAGTTCGTCCACCACCCGGAGGTCCCATGGCCGACACCATGACCACATCAATGATGTTGAACCTGCGACCATCCGCTCTTCCGGTCAGGTCTAGCACAGAATAGAGAAAGGTAAAAAAGCTCGACGAAGGTGCTTCCTGCAGTAAAGGCTGAGAAAGTCAGGGCTGAACACCGAAGACTGGCCGGTGGAGTCCGCTTCATCTGAGGCCCACGCTTCACAAGCTCCTGCAGTTGCAAATAAAAGCATTTTCCTTGAGCTTCAGCTTCAAGGGGAGAGCTAAGAGGGGCTCCTTCCGGTTGTACCAACCTCCGTGATCATGCCACTGTCGGATAAGCTCGATCGGAGGCTGTGCCCCGTAGTACTCCTTCAAAGGTCCCCCAGGTGCAGCTGCGGGATGCCCCGCAACGACTGAACCACATCGCTCACACGTTGCTTCAGCAGTCGGTCCTTGAGAGGCATGTTCAGGTCCTGGGCAGCAGCTAGATGCAGAAGTGCACGGGCACGGAGACAGACGCACGGACAAAAAGCCGAGGCCATGGCATCTATAAACAGCACCTTCCCATGTCAGGATCGCAAGCCCACATGCAACAAATGCATGATCCATATCTGAGCTTGCAGAGCACTTCCTGGGGCGCCGACCATCTTCTTCCCTGCAGGCGGTCCATATACCCCGCGTCGCCGCCTTGATAAAGCAGCCCGAAACCCTAGTCGTACAGATGACTAGGATACTATTCCGTAATTCAGACTGGGGGCAAGATGACTAGTGCTGTCATTCAGTCTACGATTACCGCTATATACCGCCATTGCTCTTGGCATCATGTGCGTACGAATCAAAGCGCCTTAAAACCAAAACCCTGAACCCGAAGCCCCTTAAACCCGAGACCTTCTTTGGCAAGTGAGGGCTCCGACTTCTCAAGCTTCGAGTCGATGAGGTCTTGCAGCTGGTTCACATGTGTCTGAGCCTGGCGCATTGGGGCTACAGTTTGGGATTTAGGTGGATTTAGGGTTACGTCTGGGGTGTGGGGTTTGTTGCCTTGCATTGAAGGTTATTTGTTTCTTGACGCGCCCTTTTCCGACCGACGTCGCGGGGTGGGGCTGGGCTTAGGGGGTCTGTTCCGCAGCAGCCGACGTCTGAGTGCAAGAGGCCGGGTGCCGGGCTGAGAAATTGATGAAGACGCCTCGGGAGGATCGCGGCGTGAAAGCCCGGTGCTTGGAGTCGGGGGAACATCGGAGCACAAACAGCGATTCAGGAACCAGAAGGCACTTTAACTCTTGGGCTGTCACCTTGGTAATTCTCCGGCGCCTGTCGCTGGAATGATGCAAAGAAACAGTAAGTCGGCGGGCAGTGCATCCCTGTTCGTGTTCAGACCCCACCTGTTTCTGAAGCCACAGCGAGATGTTGACGCTCTTTCCGGTACCAGTGGGCCTCGGAATGGGACCCTTACCCAGAGAACCCAATGCCCTTTAAGTAAGGAATATACCTTAAATCATAATATGAAGGCCCCTATAATTCAAGGTATATTCCTTAATTAAGGTGTAATGGGTTCTCTGGGTACGGCCACTGTACTCTCAGCCACTTTTCTGATGGCTCCCCGGCTCCCTCCGAGTCTGTCTGGGTGGCACACCCCGGACAGAGGACATGCTTGTCGTTCAGCACCAGCAGCTGAAAGATGTACACCAAGCGCACCTGGGCCCCAGAACCAGGCATCTAAACCGCAACCCCTGAAGCCCTAGACCCCGAACTTTGAACTTGTCATGGAAACTGAACCTTAACCCCTATACACCCCAAATCGTAGATGCCCTGCGCCCTCAACCCATTAGAGCCCCAAACCCCCAAACCAACAACTTCAAGGGCACCTTCGGAGGGTACCAAAGCAAGGGGAGGCCCTTCATGCTTGAACCCTAAAACCCCAAAACCCCACACCGTCTGATAGCAGGGCCCGAGCCGAGTCCACGGAAGGAACAACGATCTCCTCGTACTTCGCCCCACGAGGGACCTCCAAAGCTCCAGGCTCTTCGGCGTTTGGGCCGTTTTGGGTTTAGGGCTGAAGATTCTGGATTTAGGATGGAGGGTTGAGGGTTCAGGGCCTTGGGTTTTGGGTTTCGGAGGGTTTAGGGGCGATTTTCTTTGATCTACGTTAGGCACACTTTTCCAACCCACACTCGCCCCTCCCCGCAAGGGTTTCGGGGCTTTGGGGTTTCGGCTTTGAATGTTTATGGCGTTGGTCTTGGGACTTGGCGGTTGGGGTTCGGGGTTTTGGTTTAGGCTTCATTGCCCAGAGTCGGGAGTCTAGAGAAATTCTGGGGGCTCGGGAGTTTAGGAATTCGCAGGATGGAAGTGACTCTGGGTTTTGGGCTTCGGAATAAGGCCTTGGACCAAGTCCTACCAATCCCTACCCAAAACCACCCGAACCTCGGAGGAAGAACCTCTAAAGCTCACTACCCTTAAGGGACAATAGGAGGGACCCCTAGACCTATGTAACCCATATATACCCCTTTCTTTAGTCTCATATAAAGCCCCTATAAAACCCCAGGGGTCCCTTTAAGGGTCGCTCCTCTAGCAAAAATGAACCCATATTAACCCCTAAAGTATTCTCTTTTCTTGTTCAGGCCCCCACCTATTCCAACAAGTGAACATCCAGGAAGGGCTGAGACTTGCTAGGAGAGCGAGTCTACCGATCGAAAGCCCTGCAGAGTCCTATGTTTAGAGGTTTGGGAGCTACATGGGTTTAGGGTTTTTTTCCCTCCCTAGCAAGGACGAGCCCGCATTGCA